ATCATTATCCCTTATGTAGTCTACTAGAACAATAAACATAGAAGGGGTGTCAATTGCTGCTTTCCAGGAAGCACTGTCAATCTCAAGTCTATTATAATATTTTCCATTTTTCAGAATAGGAAAGCTTGCATATAATTAGATGATTTTCCTGTTTATTTTTTTCAGTATGTAAATCTTTTGTCTCCTTGGTTAAGTTTATTCCTAAGTATTTTTTTTTATGCTATAGTAAATGGGATTGTTTTCTTGCTTTCCTTTTCAAATTGTTCATTGTTAGTATATAAAAATGCAACTGATTTTTTTATGCTGGTTTTGTCTCCTGTAAGTTGGCTGAATTTATTACTTCTAACAGTTGTATGTATGTGTGCATGTGTGTATGTATATGTGTATATAATCATATACATAAAACGGACAAGCTATGAAATGCTGGCAAAGCATTTTCACATCTCTGAAAATAAAATGGCCGGGCTCGGTGGCTCAGCCTGTAATCCCAGCACTTTGGAAGGCCAAAGTGAATGGATTGCCTGAGCCTGCAGGTTCGAGACCAGCCCAGGCAACTCGGTGAGACCTCATCTCTACAACACATCAAAAGTTAGCCAGGCGTGGTAGCATGTGCCTGTAGCTCCAGCTACTTGGAAGGCTAAGGTGGAAGGATTGCTGGAGCACAGCAGGTAAACACTGGGGTGGCAGCAGTGAGTGTGCCACTACACTCAAGCCTTGGCAACGGAGAGAAACTCCAACTCAAATTTAAAAAAAGAAAAGAAAATTAAATATTAGATTAACCTATGGCATTAGAATCTCATGTTAATCTTCTGAACCAATAGAAAGCATCATGGCCACAGAAAAATTACTGAAAACAACTATAAGGTTTTTGCCTTTACAAGTGGCAATTAAAATAGAAATAAAGAATACCATCATTTACAAAAATGTTTAGGTATGGAATAAAATTAAGTTTTATTTATTCCTGGAAATAAATTCTTAATCACTGCATGCCAAAACTCCTAGTCTTAAACCATCAAGACCACGTCAAATCCATCCATGTTTCTCTTTCTCACTTGCTTGAAGAAATACAGAGTTGAAGTGGTCAGATCAGTTGTTGGGATCTCATGATAGACATGGTCTTCATTGTCTTCAGTATACAAAGCTCCGGTCAAAAGGTTTTGAGTATTAGCTTAGACTCATGGGACTTCTAAGTAAAAAGGTCAGCAACAAAGAGCATTTTCTATAGCTTTTTTTTCTTTTATGTGAGGTTTTATTTATTTTAAAGATGTGGGGTACAATTCAGGATTAGGTATACAAATAGTTATTGTACAGGTAAAGTTTGGGCCTGACTGTGGTCCTCACTTTACCTGGTTTGAGATCAAGTACCCTTATTGATGAAGTGTGCTCCCCCGACCCCCAGCAGTTTCTGGCTACTGCTAATTCCTTTCTTGTTATGAGAATTGTTCAGGGTCCGCTTATGAGTGAGAACATGTGGTACTCAGTTCTTTATTTCTGTGATAGATCACTGAGTATTATATGTCGGGAGCGGATGTGATGTTGGGAGTGGACGAGCGCTATCACTGTAGCAGGCCTTGGGTAAAAGCCCCAAGTGAAGGCAAGGTCTCACTTGATAGCTCTGCATCCTAGCCAAAGGCAAGGGATGCAGCCTGCTACATGAAACAGTGTCTCAGATGCCCACACATCTGGGTGCACATAGTACAGATAAAGCCTTAGCTGTAAGATAACCGCGGAACAGCTCGCCTTTAGGTAGCAACAAAATTCCATTGAATCCCTTCCAACTTTCTTTGTGCTTGATTATAAAATAAACATGCTGAGCTAGTTCAGAGCCACTTCTCCTCTATCAGAGGTAAATGTCCCACCTGACCCCAGCTTTTCTTTATGTCTTTGTGTCTGTGTTCTTCTTAATCTCTTGCCACTTTCTCTTGGGACCTACAAGGCAGCCGCGTGGGCTGTGGCAATTTTAGATTCTAAATCAATTCAAGTTGCTGCAAAGTTCATAATTTTGTCCTTCTTTATGCCTACGTAATATTCCACCGTGTATATATACCACATTTTTAAAATTCAGTCTACTTTCCACGAGCAGAATGGTTGATTCCACATTTTTGCTACGGTGATTAGTGCTGCAATAGACATGTGTGCACAGGTATCTTTTTTTGTAGAATGATTTGAGTTCCTCTGGGTATATTCCCAGAAGGGGGATTGCTGGGTCATACAGAAGGTCAGTTTTTAGATCTTTTAGAAATCACCACACTGTTTTCCACAGAGGTTGTACTAGTTTATACTCCCACCAACAGTGTAGAAGTGTTCCTCCCCCCTCCTTCCCATCCTCTCCAGCATTTGTTGTTTTTTTGAGGTATTGATGATAGCTGTCCTGACTGGAGTTAGGTGGCATCTCAGTGTGGTTTTAATTTGCATTTCTTTAGTGATTAGTGAGGCTGAGCATTTTTTCATGTGTCTGTTGGCTGTTCCATTGAAACAAGAAGAAATTGAGACATTAAATAGACCAATAACAATCCAGGAAATCGACTCTGTCATTAAAGAAAAACTACCTGCAAGAAAAAAAGTCCTGGACCAGATGGCTTTCCAGCGGAGTTTAATCAAACATACAAGGAGGAGCTGATACCAATCCTATTGAAAGAAAGGCAATTGAGAAAGACTGAACTCTCCGCAAAACATTTCATGAAGCTAACATCACACTGATTCCCAAACTGGGTAAAGATCCAACAAAGAAAGAGAGCTACAGGTCAGTATCTCTGATGAACATAGATGCAAAAATACTCAACAAGATTCTAGCAAATCGGATCCAACAACACATCTCAAAAATCATCCACCATGATCAAGTAGGCTTCATCGCCAGGAGGAAGGGCTGGTTCAGCATTCACAAGACCATAAATGTAATTAAATACAGCAACAGATGTAAAAATAGGAATCACATGATTATATCATTAGATGCAGAAAAAGCTTTGATAAAATCCAGCATTCCTTCTTGATAAAAACCCTTGAACACCTAGATATAGAGGAAACATACCTCAAAATAGTAAGAGCCATCTACGATAAACCCACAGCCAACATATTGCTAAACGGAAAGTATTTCCCTTGAAAACCAGAACAAGATAAGGCTGCCCACTCTCACCCCTCCTGTTCAATTTCCAAGAAGTCCTAGCTAGAGCAATCAGAGAAGAGAAGGAAATCAGGGGTATCCAAATAGGAAAAGAGAAAGTCAAGTTATCCCTTTGCTGATACGATTGTATACCTTAAAACCCAAGAGAATCTGTCAAAAACCTTCTTGCACTGATAAAGGACTTTGGCAAAGTCTCAGGGTACAAAATCAATGCACAAAAGACAGTCATATTCTTATACACCAAAAACAAACAAGCAAAGAATCAAATCCAAAGCACAATCCCATTCACAACAGCAACAATAACAACAAAAAAATGAAATACCTCAGCATCTTCCTAGCCAGAGAATTGAAAGACCTTTACAATGAAAACTACAAAACACCGCTCAAAGAAATCAAAGAGGATGTAAACAAATGGAAAAATATTCCATGCTCATGGATTGGAAGAATCAACATTGTTAAGATATCCATCTTACCCAAGGCAATCTACAGATTTAATGCAATACCCATTAAATTACCAACATCATTCTTCTCAGACCAGGAAATGGCAATGCAGAAATTCATATGGAAACAGAAATGACCGCACGAATAGCCAAAAAATCCTCAGCAAAAGAAACAAAGCTGGAGGTATCACACTCCCAGACTTTAAACCTTATTATAAGGCTGCAATAATCAAAACAGCCTGGTATTGGGTACAAGAGCAGGCATACAGATAAATGAAACAGGATAGAGATTACAGAAGCAAAACCTCAATTTCTCAACCAACTCATCTTCTACAAAGCCTC